AAAGACGACAGAAATGGTGTTTCGAGCTTCATATTTGTTGCATGAACTCCTTATCATGCTCCCTGTCCCCGCGCTCAACATGTCTTTTACGATGTTGAATCCAGATTTGTCATGAGAGGCATGCCAAAGGATCGAAGAGGTAGGAACCTAGAGAGAGAAGTAGAGAGAGAAAGATTAAGAAGTAAAAAAACACACATAGACGTGCCCCGTTGGGGTAAACTGGGGTATTCACGGGCTCTATGACCCATATTATATTTTGTAGTTAAAGAGTTACAAAAGAGAATATGAGAGAAATCTCCTTATAGAGTATGGGTCTAAAAAGGAGTCAAAAGCCTTTTTTACATGTATTGGACCTCTATTTACAGAAGATAGGGGGTCATGATGTTGAAAATTATACATTTGCCACTGCTTGACCTTTGATTATGAGAAATCTTTGTAATACGCCTTAACCTATGATCAATTATCCTCTCCCATAATTTTAAAGTATGACACATCAACTTAATTCCTCTATAATCTGCACTCTTTTGCATCCCCTTTAATCTTAAAAATGGGGACCAAAATACTCTTCCTCCACTCATGCATCTTGTTAGTTTTTAAAATAATATTAAAGAGTTTACAAGCCAAGAAACTCCCAAATCTCCTAAATATTTTCATACTTCAATTGGGATATCATCAGGTCTACAGAATTTCCACACTTTGTTTGCTTTAAAGCCTCCTCAACTTCTTTTTTACTAATGTGACGGTAAAAATAAAAATTTTTATTATTATTAACGATATTAAGATCACTAAGATCGATCGTATTTTCAGAAACTTCATTAAAAAGTTTATCAAAATAACTCACCCACCTATATTGAATATCTTTTTTAAGAAAAACACTTTTTGATTTTCATCTTTAATACACTTGAGTTAAATTTTTACTTTCTTTTCTCTTTGTTAGGCTAGATTATACATATAATTTTCACTCTCCCTAGTATCTAATATATTATAAAGATCATTAAAAGAAGAATTTTTAACGTCACAGATTGTTCTTTTAAACTCCCTACGGACCATTTGATATTTTTTCTACTTCTCTAATTTAAACCAATTTTGAAAACATAATTTCTTATATTTTATATTTTCTTGCACATTATTATTCTACCACCAACTATTTTTATTTAAAGAAACTTTTCTTTTGATTCTCCATCTTTTGCTACTTGTTTAATAGTGACTGTTACTTTATTCCACATAGCATTTGTTTCATTATAAACATCCAAAATTTTAAAATCTTGAATTTTACTCATAAAAATAATTTTATTTATTTTTTAGGTTCTCATATCTAATTCTACGATAATAGGTCCTATTATTCTTTATTTTACAGCTCATCATTTTAAAATCTAGAACAAATAAACAAACTTGGGCACTTAAATCCTTACTTGGAATGACCTTACAATCTTTACAATCAATCAATTTGTGTTTTATTAGATCCACTCTTATAAGTAATAAGATGCTCATCTCTTGTCCTGAATAAAGTATTAGTAATAACAAAATCATATGATAAAGCAAAATCCAAAATAGCTCTACCTTCTTCATTAGTTACTCCAAAACCGTAGCCATCATGAATATTTCTGAAATCTTCTACCACTCGACATGTCCTTTTAAATCTCCTCTAATAAAAACTCTTTCTTCAAGAGGTACCATTTGTATTAAGTCTTCTATGTCATTCCATAATTTATCTCTAGACTCTATATCTAAACCTACTTGAGAAGCATAAGCACTTATAATATTAAAACTCTTAGTATCGATGATAATCTTAAGGGCTATAATTATATCTCCAACTCTATTAATTTTTACAACATTATCTTTCAAACTCTAATCTATAATTACACCTACACCATTTCTAATGCGACTCTTACTCGAATACCAAAGTTTAAAACCTAAGTTATCAATCTCCTTGGCCTTTTCTCCAACCCACTTAGTTTCTTGAATACATAAGATCTTAATCTTTTTATGAATCATAATATCAACTAATTTCATTAATTTACCATTGAGAGCACATATATTCCAAGATTATATCATAATATTAATTTTATTAGTTTCATGAACTAAATTCTTTACATGCATCCGTCCGGGCGCCGATGTAGCGGCCCTTGCACATTTTTCACTGTATTTAGTCTATACAGCACAGCGCTTCCAGGAGAAGCCCTAGCACTTACACAATGATCATTAGGATTCATGTCATAATTTTTTTGACAAGTTTTGTGTTTGTTGTCAACTACCTAACGCAACCCTCCACTTTTCACACCCGGGCTTGGGACTGACAATGGTAGAGTTAAATTTTCTTAAGGGTTATTTCACATGTTTTGTAAGAAATTTTCATAACTCATTTTATCAGTTTAAAATCACTTTAATTGGGAATTTTTAAAATTAAGATTAGATTTTGATAATAAAAATTATATATCTAGCAATAAAATTTTGATTTAATGACTAAATTTTTATATTTAGTATCCTAAGTTACTATCGCACATTTTTTACTATATATATGTAGCCTTAGACATATTTAAAGTATTAATGTTTGATATTAGAGACAAATTTGTAATATCTCTTTTGTTTCTAATTGTTTGTCATGTATATATTACATATTTTTTTATGCTTATTTGTAATAATTTTCATAGAAAAAAAATATGTATCTATTTAATTTAAGTTTGGGAAGAAGAATATTGAGCATGTTAATCCATTTTTTTATGACATGTTAAATTTACTTATATTATTAAAAGGGGAGAATAATGTTGATATTGAAGTTATTTCTAGTTATTTACAAATTGCTAATATTACAAAATCATTACCTGAAAAAAGATTTTGCACCTAGAGATATATGATTGGCATGTCAGAAACTACATATTAAAAACATAAATTTCACTTGCACTTTCATATCTTTTATTTCAATTTTGTATCTCTTTTTTATTGTCAAATGAGAGAATTTTGTATATTGGCTTGTACATATTTTATATGCATAAATTTAGAGAAGCATAGTTGCATTTTTGTCTACTCTAAATGTCTTCAATCATGAATTAAAATAACCGTCATTGTTAATTGTTGTTGAATGGAAAATAAAATGAATTTTTAAAATAAATACAACACAAAAGATGTGCTGTAATGTCACTTTGCACATTCATCCACATATATAGCCAACACAGATTAGTCATCATCAAAATCTAATGGTAAGCCACTGGGCTCATGTTGGTAATAAGGCCTCAAAATAACTGCCAAAAATGGTGTGACACAAACTAGAGGGTGGTTGTTTTGTATCGTACTACACCCATCTTTATATAGCTTTTAAAGATCTACTTGACTAGAGCATTGCTAGCACAAGACACAAGCAAACATATGGAAGTATGAGGCATCTAACCCAATCAAACAAGATTATTGTACAACTGGTGCACTGTAATTTCACTCGCAACGTCACTTTTGAGAAATTAAAGACTGTTTCGTTAGCTCTCAAAATTCTATCTAAATTTACACATCTTTAAAATGAATAATATAATATTTTTACTATCATAATAGTTTTATAAATGACAGATACTAAACCCATGTCATCAAGGTTGGGAGCCTGTGTTTTACCCAATGTAGAAAATGTGTTATACGGGTATAGTCATGACTTTTGTGGCATTATTTGCGATCATTTTAATAGGTAGTTTGGCAATTTTGTTGTACATCGCGATCATTTTAATT